TGAAGAGTAGAGACATCACACTGGCAACAAAGATCCACATAGTCAAAGCAATGGTATTCCCCATAGTCACCTACGGATGTGAGAGCTGGACCATAGGGAAGGCTGAACGAAGGAAGAACTGTGGTGTTGGAGGAAAGTGCTGAGAGTGCCTTGGACAGCGGGAAGATCCAGCCAGTCCATACTTCAAGAAATAAAGCCTGACTGCTCATTGGAGGGAAGAATAGTAGAGGCCAAGCTGAAGTACTTTGGCCACATCAAGAGAAGAAAGGAAAGGTTAGAGAAGACAATTATGCTGGGGAAAATGGAAGGAAAAAGGAAGAGGGGCCGACCAAGGGCAAGATGGATGGATGGTATCCTTGAAGTGACTGGCTTGACCTTGAAGGAGCTGGGGGTGGTGACGGCCGACAGGGAGCTCTAGCATGGACTGGTCCATGAAGTCATGAAGAGTCGGAAATGACTGAACGAAGGAACAACAACAAAGGACTTTGCCCAGGGGATGCCCTGATGTTTAATGTTTTACCATCCTTGTGGGAGGCTTCTCTCATGTCCCCGTATGGGGAGCTAGAGCTGACAGAGGGAGCTCAACCCTTTCAGTCAGCAGTCCTGCCGGCACAAGGGCTTAACCCATTACGCCACCGGGGGCTCATCTCTGTCATGAGGAATGCTAATACCTCAATCGAAGGCAGCACACAGGTTGCCCTCCGCAGCATCTTGAGGAGACCAAAGAACAGCAGCAGACCTCGGGAGCTCTGTTGTCAAAAAATTGCTCAGGATTGGCTTTCTGGTATCATGTGATTCCCAAAACAAGAAGGAGGCTGGTTTATAGTATTTCCAGCATTTTGTTCCTCCTACCAGGTGAGGCTCAGTTGCCTGGCCTGTTGCACTAACTTTTTCCCATCAATAAAGAGTCTGGAGATTCCATCGGAACATGAGGAAGAACTTCCTGACTGTGAGAGCCGTTCAGCAGTGGAACTCTCTGCCCCGGAGTGTGGTGGAGGCTCCTTCTTTGGAAGCTTTTAAGCAGAGGCTGGATGGCCATCTGTCAGGGGTGATTTGAATGCAATATTCCTGCTTCTTGGCAGGGGGTTGGACTGGATGGCCCATGAGGTCTCTTCCAACTCTGATTCTATGATTCTATGATTATTGGAGTGTTTTTGTGCCGAGCCTTGCTTTCCATCCTACTATTTTGTACACTTTGGAGTAGTCTAGCGGTGTGGTGGCTCTCCCAGGGCAACAAGGCTTGTATAGGCATCAAAGAGCTGCCTCTGGTGCATAGATGTTGCGGAAGGCGGTGACAGGCGTTCTCTCCACGCTTCTGCCCAGCGCTACATCTGCTGTGTGTCGAAGCGCCTTGTTCAACTGTGTCTCCCTGATGTACACATTACAGCACGCCGCTTCTTACTCCACTTTCATCTGTATCGGCAGCATTAAATATTATTATATCATTTACTCTCTCGAGCAGGAAGATGATGTTTGGCAGCTTGTTCTATGAATTTTTCATAAAGATAAAAAAGTGGCCTAATCTTGTGAGCTTTAACTCTCAGGCGCGGTAATGGCTTTGATTTAAAGCGTTTTGTCTTAATGATAGTTATATTGAAAATTTCCTGCTGCTTTCAAGCATGCACGGCTATTATCATAAACACTGATGGTGCAAACGGCTGCCAAATTGCATGTGTTCCTCGTAGTGGGAGGGGCGGGGGGCAGAGCGAGAGAAACGGGGTTCGGTCTCATCCGATTGCCATCAGTGAGGCCTTGTTTCCCCTGGTATCAGAGATCTTCCTGAAGTTGTGTGGGAGGTTTCAGGTATTTTCACTTCTGTGGTTCAGGTGAAGAGCAAAATAGGAGTCTTGTCCTTGGAGAAACGCCCTTCATCTTGGAGGGTTTGCATGTGCCGAAATCATTCTGTTATTGGAACACCCAACCGCTTGCTCGGCATCCTCTGGAGGTCTTTGAAACTAGGCCAGAGACACAGACAGCTTCTCGATAGAGACCCAATTATATACATCCACCTGGATAGAAATTCCTCTGTGATCAACCTTGCAAGTACATCTGGAGTCTCCTCTTCCCAATGGGAAAGTGCAGAGGGAGATAGGAAATGGTTGCAGCCTAAGGCTTATTGGTTGTGTAAGGAACACAAGACATAACCAAAGAGCCACTACAAAAGTTGGCGAAGAAATGAATTCAGTTGAACACACTTCTGGGAAGATACACTTCCTTTATTACTTTTCTCAATATGATTTCTCTCTCTCTACACATTGATTTGAATAGGAAAATTTGAGTTGTGATTTATTTTTTCCTCCACATTCACTTGTTTCTCATCATCTTTGTTTTCATCATGGAATTGTATGTCTTGATAATGAACCTGCCAGGAAATGTAAGGGAGGGGGGATCTTTGGAAAGTAATTCCATCTTTTCCACTTTCAAGTTCAAGCCTGCTTTTATTTTTAGTTGGACGCACAACAGTAGGCGCAGAAGGAAGCTAGATTTCCAGATGTCAGGGCGCCTTCCTCAAATCACACAAACAAGAAATAGTCTTTCCTGCTTGCTTTCCACAGATATTAAAATATGCCTCCAATCCGCTGGGATTGAAGGATTTATGTAAACACACCGTCTGTTTCATTGAAATGCATATAGAGACATTTATGTCCTCAGCTCTTCAAGCCTTGTTGTTTTTCTAGTTTAGTAGAGTCTCGATTATCCGACATAAACAGGCCAGCAGAACGTCGGATACATGAAAATATCAGATAATACGGAGACTCCTACTTTTACCTGTCCGATGTGGTGCTAGACACCTAGAATACTAACAAAAGGTTAAGGCAAGGTGATGCCCCGGGGCTAGAGTGGCCCAGCAGGAAGTGCCCGGATACAGGAGTGTGGAAATCACAAAGGGAAGGAGGGAGGATGCTTCCACTTCCGGTTCTGCCTGTTTTCCCCCTTTCCTTCCTCCTCCTCCTCCTCATCTTGCCCTTTTCACTTATTTGGAATGGAGAGAGAGTTGTGGAGTGCACCTTTAATTGAAGGGCAAATGCTGGAGGAAAAGAGGGGTGTCGGATAAGAGCGTTGGATAAGACGGAATGTCAGATAAGCGAGACTATACTATAGTTCCCAACCTTTGGTTCTCTGGGTGTTTTTGGACTTCACAGAATTCCTACTGTTAGCCAAGCCAGCTGAGGCTTCTGAGAGTTGAAGTCTTGGACACCTGGACTCGCTCACCTGCTGCAGATCCTTGTAGCTGGGGATACAATGAAATGACGGGCCAGCTGCAGTCCATGTGTGATACGGAACTAGGGTTGGTGTGGGGTAATCTTGATGGAATTCAGGACTTAAAGGAAATCCACACAAGGGCACGCAGCTTGAGCATTGCTTATCTGGAATTCCAAAATCCCAAATAACCCAAAACCCAAAATTGTCCAACTAGGTGGTCGAGATAGTGATACCTTTGCTTTCTGGTGGTTTACTGTGCGCAAACTTTGTTTTGTGCACAAAATTATTCCAAATGCTGTGTGTAAAACTGCCTTCAAGCTAAGTAGATTACGTTTCTATAAACATCAATGAATAACATGTTTAGACTTGGGTATCTCCGTATGTATATGCAAGTATTGTCGAAGGCTTTCATGGCCGGAATCCATTGGTTGTTGTAGGTTTTTCCGGGCTATATGGCCATGTTCTGGAGGCAATTTTTCTCCTGACGTTTCGCCTGCATCTATTTATTTATTTATTTATTTATTTATTTATTTATTTATTATTTGCTTTATTTCTATACCGCATTTTTCAGCCCAAACAGGCGACTCAATGCGGTTTACATGGTACAATTATCAAACAGTGTCAGTGCAATTAAAACATAACAATGCAACAAACAGGATCAACAACATCAATCCACAACAGTTAACAATCAACAAGACAGATCAACAAAACAGACATAACATAACGCCTCAGTTGAAATCAGATCCGTTCTCATAATCCTTATGCCATTCCTATGTTCCATTTACCGTCTTCCTATGATTGGTTGCACTGCTTAACCAAACGCTTGTTCATAAATGTCTTAACCATTCTCCGAAACGTCAGCAGCGAAGGTGCCTGTCTGATGTCTGCCGGTAGGGCATTCCATAGCCGAGGGGCCACCACTGAGAAGGCCCTGTCTCTCGTCCCCGCCAAGCGCGCCTGTGACGCAGGCGGGATCGAGAGCAGGGCCTCCCCAGACGATCTTAATGTTCTGGTCGGTTCATAGGTGGAGATGCGTTCGGAGAGGTAAGCAGGGCCAGAACCGTTTAGGGCTTTATAGGCTAAAGCCAGCACCTTGAATTGTGCCCGGTAGCGGATTGGCAGCCAGTGGAGCTGGTTCAGCAGAGGAGTGGTATGCTCTATGGCAAGCATCCTCAGAGGTAATGAGGTCTGTTGGAACTAGGAAATATGCAAGTACTCCATTAAAAAAAAATCCTGAATACAGAATATTCCTGATCAGCTAAGAGAGATTTAACCTGTATTCCCCAGTAAAGCTGCTCCATACGCACATAGTATACTCACATATACACAAATCATGTATTTGTACAATTTGGGGGTTCCTTTGCTTATAAATGGGGTATAGAGAAAGGCAGCTCATGTATTCAGTGCAAAGTGAAGATCAGCTTCTCTCTTTGCTTCTCAATATATTTCACATTTTATTTGATTGTGTTATTTTAATCAGTAAGGCACTGTGTTGAATTTCTACATATTAATGTGTGACTAAAGGGAGTGGGCGGGGGCTTCTAATGAATCAAATGGTGATTTAGCTTGTTTAAAAATGATGGTAATATAGGCTCGAGGCCTTTATAACTATGAGCCTCAGTTATTATAACCCCGGAGAAGGTACGATCAAATGGTGGTCAGTTCTCTCTTCTGAAGTTTTGAATGATTCTTACTATGATTCTGTAATGTTTCCGTTATTTGTAACTGAGTGCAATTAATATTTGAAAATAAGCACCAATCCACTATCCGCAATGATAGCGTCAATGTATCCCCAGGGATCCCCGATTACGGTTTCTATTCTCCGCCCGGTGACCTACGGGCTCCATTATCGTACGCGGACTATGGTTCCATGGGGCCTCGGGTGGCTCAGATGTTGCGTAGCGAGCACCCTGCGTCAGCGAGTAACTCCCCCCTCCACCACCTTCCCAGCCCGGATCAGTTTAAGAGCCCAGGTTGGTACAGAATTTCATTCCTTTGGGGAAGCAAAGAAAACAAAAAATATATGATGACACCATCACTTATTGAATGATGCACAGAAAGGGATTTGCATGCTATGCCAAGTTAAGGTTGGCTACCAAACTCCACTCCATCCTTTTTATTCGGTTCCAGATTTTGTATTGACTTTGTTGTAATTCATAAGCACGTTGTTGTCTTCCAGGGGGCAGCCCAGGTTTGATAAAATGTCGGTGAAAACATATGCTGTGTCCGAAAGGAGCCCTCCTTGCCTTAAATAGAGAAGAGAAGTGGTTCCCAACCTTTTTTTTTTTGACCAGGGATCACTTGATCAGAGTCCACTTTGACCAGGGACCACTTGAACTGGGCCCACTCTCCAACATTAGTACCAAATGGGTTACAAATCCGTTTTTGGTCAACTTTAGATTCAGTTTGGTTATTTGGGGTGCCAATTCAGAAAATTGCATTGAAGAGACTAGTTTCTGTTACAGAACATATGCCATCCAGTAGTTGCCATCTGCTTGCCCACAGAAAACCATATTTAATAATCTAGAGCTGATGTGATAGTAGTAATCTTTCATGGGTTATCAGACTCTCCACTCCCGACATCCCCGTTGCCTCGGCACTATAAGAGGGTTTCACGAGACCAGTTGCTCTTGTTGCCACATGGTTTCAAGGCAACGGTATAGTAATGGTGAGACCGCAGACTGTATTTTATTTCTTGCAGACCACTGGTGGTCCGCAAACCACAGGTCGGGAACCAATGCAGTAGAGTCTCCTTATCAGAGAGGCGTGTACAAGGCAGAAAGCATATCTCATGTCTTTCTTGGCAGCTACCTCTTGATTGACTTGGGGTCTCTATTAAGTTCCAAGCTGCGTTAGATACAAAACTAAACCCTTGAGAGGTTCTTTGAACAGGAGCAATACAACAGCAGAGCTCATTCTGAGAATCGAAGGACCCCCAGACTTATACACAAGCAAAAGGTATACAAAAACATGAATACAAAAACCGGAACATTGAAACTTCCAGAATACTTGAATCCAAAACCGAAGACTTTATTTATTTATTTATTTATTTGCTTTATTTTTATACCGCATTTTTCAGCCTAATTCGGCGACTCAATGCGGTTTACAATGCAATTTATATAACAATGACAATTAGTTAAAACACAACATACACGACAAACAATACAAGACAACACAACGTAGTCATCAACGCCTCAGTAAAAATCAGATTCCATTCTCATAATCCTTCTACCATTCCTTTGTTCATTTATACCGTCTTCATGAGTTCAGTTGCCTTGTTGACCGAACGCCTGTTCATAGAGCCACGTCTTGACCTTCCTCCGGAACTCCAGCAACGAAGGGGCCTGCCTGATGTCTGCGGGTAGGGCATTCCATAGCCGAGGGGCCACCACCGAAAAGGCCCTTGACTTGAATCAAGAACCTGAGAACTCAGCCTAGCTTCTCATGAGAGGGGTTACGTTGCCTGAACTAAATCTTAGGTAATAGATGCCCATGAAAGCATTCCGTTTCCCATGATTTTTTCCCACAACATTCCCATGTAATCACTCTGACCTGTGGGAACCCCCCCCCCCATAATAGCCTGATTTTTGGGCCCCAAAACAAAAGAACCAAAAACAACCCTCACAATTTTGGGAGGCTTACAAAAAATGGATCAGGACCCCCAACGAAAACTGGGACACAAAACAGGACAAGGCTCCCCCCACATGTACATGTCTAGTATGTACAAGATAATGCTTGGGGGAATCTTCTTCTTCTTAGGTGATCCCTCGTTGTCCAAGTAGGATAGTCTTCCAAGATCAGTGTACTGGTGGTGGGTCCGTAGGTGACTGTGGAGCCCTATTCTTGACCTGCATCTTCTCCCGCAGTGAGGGCATTGGTTTCCAGGTGGAAGGCAGTCCCGGTTGAGGTTGGCTTGACGCGCCTTCCTCTTGGCACATTTCTCTCTTTTGCACTCCAGTCGTGCCTCTTCAAATTCTACAGCACTGCTGGTCACAGTTGACCCCCAGCTGGAGTGCTCAAGGGCCAGGGCTTTCCAGATCTCAGTGTCTATGCCAGTTTTTAAGGTTCACTTTGAGCCCATCTTTAAATCTCTTTTCCTGCCCACCAACATTCCGTTTTCCGTTCTTGAGTTCGGAGTAGAGCAACTGCTTTGGGAGACGGTGGTCGGGAAACGTGGCCAGTCCAGCGGAGTTGATGGCGAAGGACCATCACTTCAATGCTGGTGGTCTTTGCTTCTTCCAGCACGCTGACATTTATCTGCTTGTCTTCCCAAGAGATTAGCTAGATTTTTTGGAGGCAATGCTGATGGAATTGTTCCAGAAGTTGAGTGTGACGCCCGTGTCTCGCAGTTGTGCCTCTTCAAATTGTACAGCACTGCTGGTCACAGCTGACCCCCAACTGGAGTACTCAAGGGCCAGGGCTTCCCAGTTCTCAGTGTCTATGCCAGAGTGTTTAAAGTTCATCCTAAAATCTCTTTTCCTGCCCACCAACCGGAATGTTGTTGGACCTCCAGAATTAGGCCCATGGCTTGGCATTTTTATAGTGGCCAAGGTAGGTAGGTGTCTTGACAACAGGTTGGGGCTGAGAGAAAGGAGATGGTTGCAAAATTTTCAGGATATAAAGCAAGTAGCTTAAGATAATTTAACTGAATGTTTTCTTAGCAGTCAGGAGCTGGGGTCCCATTGTGGATATACCACACTCTCGAACGAAGCCGAAGTTGCCATGTGAAGCACAGGCTCAAAGCTGACTATGTCACCTCTCCAATGCCTTGAGTACAACTAAACTCGGTTTTACAACTGTCCCAGAGAATTTGGTCATTTAAGTGTTGGTCCTCAGCTTACCTTGTGGGTTGTTTTAATGTATTCTTATGCCATTTTATGGCAGTATTTTAGCTGTCTTATCTAAGAAGTAGTAATTAAAAGATGCAGATAGGAATGTATAAGTGATAAAGAACTCAGAGGTGGGGAGTGTGTGAGGTTATAATGTCTACTCTGAAATAATTATATCCCTAATGAGGTTTGGAAATTGTACCCAGCTTGACGGCATGGCAGGAATCTACAGGTCGTACATACAACAGAATAAGGCGCTGCGGAATATGAATGATACCAGATCCAAAAGGAGGCAGAGGGGATTTGAATTAGATGCCATGTCTTCTAGAAAGGCGTTGTGTCTCCTGACCCAACAGGAAAAATACTAGATTTATGCTACATTGAATGTTGTGATGCCAGCAGCATGTGCAGCACCTTTTAACTGAGCTGAGACAGGATTCAAATTGAGAAAAAATGTGTTCAGCTGCCCCTCCATATCCATGAGTTCTGCATTCCTCAAACCAACAAACCAAGATTCAAAAATATTTGGAAAAAATATTGGGCTGAAAGCCACCTTATAGAGTTCATGTGTGGATACTATGAAGACCCAACAAGAGAACGATGTCTTGAGCTTCTCAGAGGAATAGGAATCATGTTAATTTTATTTAAAACTAGCTTGGGTTCCCAGCCTTGCCCGGGTTATTTGAAAAAGTCATTTTTTAAATTGTACAGAAATGCATAAGGTTGTGGGTGAACTACAACTCACGTCATGCCAGGTTAACTCCAAAAAACTTCCACCAGTACTTAAAAGTTTATCATGTTGGGCAAGTTTGCTCTAGATCAGGGGTCCACAAACTTTTTAAACAGAGGGCCAGGTCACAGTGTAAAAAAACACTTAAAAACAATACAATAATAAAAATGAGGAACAATGTTAACAAATATACAAAGATACAAAATGGGGGACGCCTGGTTCGAGAGTAGTACATGTGAAAAAGATCTTGGAGTCCTCGTGGACAACAGGTTAAACATGAGCCAACAATGTGATGTGGCGGCAAAAAATGCCAATGGGATTTTGGCCTGCATCAATAGGAGCATAGTGTCTAGATCTAAGGAAGTAATGCTACCCCTCTATTCTGCTTTGGTTAGACCACACCTGGAATATTGTGTCCAATTCTGGGCACCACAATTCAGGAGAGATATTGACAAGCTGGAATGTGTCCAGAGGAGGGCGACTAAAATGATCAAGGGTCTGGAGAACAAGCCCTATGAGGAGCGGCTTAGGGAACTGGGCATGTTTAGCCTGAAGAAGAGAAGGCTGAGAGGAGATATGATAGTCATGTATAAATATGTGAGAGGAAGCCACAGGGAGGAGGGAGCAAGCTTGTTTTCTGCTTCCCTGGAGACTAGGACGTGAAACAATGGCTTCAAACTACAAGAGATTCCATCTGAACATTAGGAAGAACTTCCTGACTGTGAGAGCCGTTCAGCAGTGGAACTCTCTGCCCCGGAGTGTGGTGGAGGCTCCTTCTTTGGAAGCTTTTAAACAGAGGCTTGGATGGCCATCTGTCAGGGGTGATTTGAATGCAATATTCCTGCTTCTTGGCAGGGGGTTGGACTGGATGGCCCATGAGGTCTCTTCCAACTCTTTGATTCTATGATTCTAATTGACCACCTTGATTAGCATTTAATGGCCTGGCAGTGCCTGGGGCCTGCTTTTGGCTGATGAGATAGGATTGTTGTTGTTGTTATGTGCTTTCAAGTCGTTTCAGACTTAGGTTGACCCTGAGCGAGGGCTGGGTAAATGACCTTGGAGGGCTGCATCTAGCCCCCGGGCCTTAGTTTGAGGACCCCTGCTCTAGATGCATCATCAGTGGGATTCAGTGTGCTCTCTGGCTGTAGGGTAAACTACAACTCCCACTATGTTGAGTCAATCACTGGTGGAGGTCACAGTTTTTCTTGTTGTGGGTGAACTGCAACTCCCAGAAAGGAAAGTCAATTCCCCCCAAATCCCTCCAGTAATCACATTTCGGCATATTACGTATATGTGCCAAGTTTGGTCCGGATCTATCAGTGTTTGGGTTGCTCTCTGGATTTAGGTGAACTACAAGCCCCCCAAATCAAGGTGATTTTTCCCCCAAAGACCTCAGTATATTTTTTTTGTTGGT